AACCATTTCAAGAGGCAGCATATTATCAAGAGCCAATGATACTGAAGGAAGAAGTCCAAGGTGCATTGAAGGAATTGGTAAAGAACAAGGCACCAAGAATTGATAGAATAAAAATTGAAATATTTCAAGACAGTGAGGTGGCACAGGAGGCACTCACTCATCTCTGCCAAGAAATTTGGGAGACAATTTGGGCTGACTGATTGGAAGAGATCCATTCCAAAGAGAGGTGACCCAATGGAATGCGAAAATCATTGGACAATATCTTTGATATCCCATGTGAGTAAAATTTTACTAAAGGTAATATAGAAATGGCTGCAAGCATACACGGACAGAGAACTTCTAGAGGTTCAAGCCATATTCAGAAGAGGCCGTGGAACAAGGGATATCATTGTTGATGCCTGATGGATCTTGGCTGAAAGCAGAGAATATCAGAAAGACGTCTACCTGTGTTTTATTGACTATGCAAAGGCTTTCGATTGTGTGGATCATGATAAACTATGGACAACATTGTGAAGTATGAGTATTCCGGAACACTTAATTTTGCTCATGAGGAATCTGTACCTGGACCATGAGGCAGTTGTTTGAACAGAACATGGGAACACTGAAGGGTTTAAAATTAAGAAAGGTGTGCAATAGGCTTGCATTCTTTCACCATACTTATTCAACCTGTATGCTGAGCAAATAATCTGAGAAGCTGGGTTGTATGAAGAAAAACATGGCATCAGGATTGGAGAAAGACTCATTAACAACCTGTGATATGCAGATGATGCAACCTTACTTGCTGAAAGTGAAGAAGATTTAAAATATTTACTGATGAAGATCAAAGAACACAGCCTTCAGTGTGGATTGCATTTCAATGTAAAGAAAACAAAATTCCTCACCACTGGACCAATAAACAACATTCTTATCAATGGAGAAAAGATTGAAGTTTTCAAGGACTTTATTCTTCTTGGATCAACACTCATGGAAGCAGCAATCAAGAACTCAAACAACGTATTGTATTAGGCAAATCTGCTGCACAAGAACGTTTCAAAGTGTTGAAGAGCAAAGACTAAGGTGCACCTGACCTGAGCCGTGGTATTTTCAATAACCTCATATGCATGGGAAATCTGGACAGTGAATAAGGAAGACCATAGAAGAATTGATGCTTTTGAGTTATGGTGTTGGAGGAGAATATTGAAAGTGCCTTGGTCCGCCAAGGGAACCAACATATTGGTGTTGGATGAAATACAGCCAGAGTGCTCCTTGGAGGCAGGATGGCCAAAATTTGCATCTCAGACTTCAAACATATTGTCAGGAGGGATCAGTCACTGGAGAAAGATATCATGTTTGATAAGGTGGAGGGTCAGAGAAAAAGAGGAAGACCCTCAGTGAGATGGATTGGCAAAGTGGCAGCATCAATGGGCTCAAGTGTGGCAACAATAGTGAGGTTGGGCCAGGATCGGGCAGTGCTTTGGTCTGCTGTGCATAAGCTCCCTATGAGTTGGTACCAACTCGATGGCACCTAACAATAACAACAATACTTACATTAGAATCCTGGTGTTGTGCTGTAGGATAAGCACTGGACTGCAAGGTCAGCTGGAATCACAAAGTTTGTTGTTCAAACTCACCAGCTACTCCTTTGAAACTCTATACAGGATTGCTATGAGTTAGAACTGACTCGATGGCACTTAACAACAACAAAATACATGCTTTTGTACATAAAAATCAAGCAATATCAAGCCGTATATTAATATCAACTCTTATTAAATTATTGGAGTCTTGGTATGGTTCTGTGTGATAAGCACTGGACTGCCTACTGCAGGGTCAGCTGTTCAAACCCACCAGTGGCTCCTTGGAGACTCTATAAAGTGTTGCAATGAGTCAAAACTGACTCAACAGCTCTTAACAACAAGAAAACTTGTTATATTGGTTCCCTTGTGGTGCAGTGGTTAAAACATTCATTTACAAATCTAAAAGTTAGTGTGGTTTGAACCCACAAGGTTGGTATAATTATATTAAGTGTGTTATAAGCTTTCTGAGTTTTATTTCTCAATTCTCTGTAGCACATTTATTTCCTGCTGGCTAGGTTTCTCTTTTCTACCCGGCAAGTGTTTGAATTGCACTTTACTGATCAAATTGTGTATTTAAAAACTGAGAAGTATCTTTACCCCATGAAAGATTCCATTATAACAATGGCTCAGAGAGTTAAAAAAAATCCTTGTTCTAGACTCTGCATCTTGTTGAAAAGGAAAATCAGACTTCACCAACAGCTAGTGACCAACAGAATACCTTTTGTAGCACGTATGTTGGAATTTTGATGTGTGCTTTACAACCAAAGAGATTGTTGCTATTGTTAGGTGCCACCAAGTCAGTTCTGACTCATAACAACCTTCTGCGCTATAGAACAATATGTTGCTAGGTCTTGGATCACCCTTATAATCATTGCTATATTTGAGTTCATTGCTGCAGCCACTGTATCAATCCATCTCATTGAGGGTATACCTTTTATTTTTTGGCTGATCCTCTGATCCTCTTCTCTACTAAGCATGAAGTCCTTCTCCAAGGACACCAAACAGATAGGGGCTAGCAATACAAAGCATTACATAAACATAAAATAAAAACATATAAAAATCTGATCTGAAGTTCTTTCAAATTTCCTGGTGGCTTAGATTATCTGTCTGGAGCTCTATCAAATCATGAGTCCACACAGAATTATTTCTTAAGAGCTGATCTTAAATTTCTGTTTTGATTATATTTTTCCTCAAATATTTGAAGTATTAACTGCCAAAGTGTTAGATGCAAGAGAGGAAGCACTATAGTAGGAACCAAAGGGACATCTAAAAATTCTGCTTTAGAATCAAGTAATATTTTGTCATGAGTAGGGGACCACATACTGAGATCTTAACATTAGACTTGTGGAGACAGAAGAATTAGGCAGTATTAGGGAGAATGGGACGTCCTTAGGTAATTCACTTAGCTGCTAAATGAAAGTTTAGTGTGTTCAAGTCCACTGAGAGGCACCTTGGAAGAAAGACCTGGTGATTAATCAGATTTTGAAAATCTTGTAGAGCACAGTTCTGCTCTGACACATATGGAGTTGTCATGAATTAGAATAAACTTGATGGCAACTGGTTACTAGCTAGAAAGGATGAACCTTGAGTTGAGAAGTTAATTCTGTTTTAGTACTTCCTCTCCTTTTCCAAGAGACTGGCAACAATCCAACTTACAGGTTCAGGAAGATATAGATAAACTGTGACTGACCAGGCTGACCTCAAAAGAGGGTATGACCATGATATCAGGAGTCTCTGAACAATATCGATACTAATTCTTAGGCCAGTTTCAGAGTCATGTCTCCTAGATGCCCATCCTGGTTGATCCCAGTCCTTAAAAGGTTCTGAGAAATCCAGTCTCTATGTTGAGAGGAGAGGCAGGGACTCATCAAGGATGAGAAAATAAACCCAGAACATGAGCAAAACACCAGGCAAGTGGTCTGAATGTATACTGTAGATTCTGGAGAGATTATTTTTAGAAGGATGTTCATGTATCTCAGAAACCCACTCAAGAGCCTATGAACTGCAGAATTTTGTCAGTCAACTATTTTTCAAACTCTACTTGGTGATGTGTATGGATGGGGTTTACATTATGTAGCCAGTTTTGGTTTCAATGACTCACGCTGGCAGAACTGAAGTGGTGGTGATGAATAGCCCACATCTTCAACTGGGCATAGCTTCAACTGGGTTAGGAGGAATAGAAAGGCTGAATCAGTTGTTCTATGCTGTCTCTGTTTTGACCTTTTTTTGAGTTTTCTTAAAAGTTATCAGAAAATTAATTAAATGTGGATAAAGCAAACCATTTCACACACCTGTTAAGTTCTTCAATTTTTAAAACTGATAGAAAATCATTTGCAAATGGAGAGATTTTATTTAAGGAAAATAAGACCTGGGACACATGAGCTGGAACCTGGTGCAGACCCAGAGAAGGGACTGCAATCACAGAGAGTTTCATATGTGACGTGTTTTGAATGAAGATGTAGATGAACTCTCTCGCTCTCTTTCTTTCTCTCTTTCCATTCCCTGCCTCTCTCCAACTTCTGAATTTCTCCTCTAACCCACAGATCCTTTTGAACTGAAGCTGGAAGGAGGGGACAGCCACTGCTCTGGGAGACTGGTGGTGTTGCACAAGGGTGTATGGGGCTCTGTCTGTGATGATGGCTGGGGTAAAAAGGAGAACCAGGTGGTATGCAAGCAACTGGGTTGTGGAAATCCCCTTTCTCCACCCCTCAATGCTAAGAAGCACTTTGGCTCAGGGGTTGGTCAAATCTGGCTAGATGATGTTCGTTGCTCAGGAAGAGAGAAGTCCCTGGAACAGTGTCGACACAGGTTCTGGGGGTATCATGACTGTACCCACAAGGAAGATGTAGCTGTGATCTGCTTAGGTAAGTCCTGCACGTAGAGTTCATGAGGATTGACATGGTGGGGGCTGGGAGTGAAGAATCTTAAGACATGCCTATGGCAGAGTCTTATCATAGGTAGGAATACCCATCCTGAATTGTAGACCTCTTATGGGAAGTGAAAGAAGATCCTGTCCTAACTTGGGCCAGGATATGCAAGTGCAGCCCTTGGGTGGCTGACTCAAGATAATCACTGGTTAAAAGCTCAGTTTTATAATCAGGATGGAAGCTTACTATACAGGGCTACTTGGCTCTGGATCTAGGTAAGACCTGATAGTTGATCAAAGAATGTGAACAGAAGTTTATTTCTTAGAAATGAGGGATTTGGTGACATAAGACTAAGGTTTGGGCCCTGCTGCAGCTACCTTGAAGTTATGTGAGCTTAGTCATTTAACTGCCCTTTTACCTCATTTACTTCCATGAGTTTTATGATTGTGAAGTATAAAAATGGGGTAATGTGTAAATATTGTTTATGACTCACATAAGAATTTGTAAGTCCCACCCATACTGTATCAGATTATGACTTGGTCCCATAGCAGTGTGGAATATGTGCATGGGTTAGGTCTTGGGAGGGTTACCATTTTTTACCCTTAGTCTATTAGAGTTTGAATGAAACAATGCCTTCATGACCTGTTGCCACTCTTACTGTTTATTCTTCTCTTTACAGAAACAGTAGCCTGGCCTACTTGATGCTTCATCTGGCTCCCACTGTCCCCGGAATGACCATCCTTGTCTCATGGGTGCTGGGCCAGCAAACTATAGAGCATGATCCCCCATCACCTCAGCAGGAGTCTGAAAATTGTGCTTAAGCTTTGCCCTCAGAGCCTAGAACCCCCATCCTTGTTTAGAGATATGAGGTATGATGGAAGAAATGAAAAACTCTTGCTGGGAAATATATGTTTTCACTTGTCCTCTCCTCATCACTGAATCACTGGCATTGCTATTAGCCTTTCCTGCCTCTTTTCAACTTGTGTGGAGCCCTGAGGCCTGTCATTTTGATTAGTTGTATAGGCCATCAATAAGGCAAGATTTGTGCCTCTAAGCAAGATGAAAAGAAAGAAACAACGAAAAGAACATTTAAAATGAAATGTGGGTAGACAACTTCAGAGAAGTTGATGGAAAACTTAGAATCATCGTACACTCTCTTATCCAATTTTGTGTGATCACAATTAATACTTCCCTACTCTCGTATTCTTTGGTGAGAGTAGAACATTCTTTCATGGGCAGAGTCTCCTAATCCAAGACCTGATCTATTTCATGACACTTGCAAAAAAATGTGGATCCCCTGCATGCTCTGATAATACTTTTCCTGTTCATCTTTATACTACCTGCCAACATAGTTTGGCTTTTAAAAGGGGAATCTTACTAATACAATAAATTTATCTAAGGAGAAAAATACTGGTTATGGAGTGACCATTCAGAGAAAGGCAAGAAAAAGACAGAAGGAGGTTGGAACTTTTAGAGTTATATCTCATGCCAATCAGAAAATATAGTTTTCATTTTATTAATTGAGGCTTTGGCACCTGATGACTTGAGGCAAAACATGATGATACTAAGGTGATAATCAAGACTTGATTATAAAAATAGACAATCTTAGACTCTGTGGCTAAGCTTAGTACTTGTAATATGCTTACATTTACACTGTGTAATAAATGAAATACACAGTTGTCTGTCTGTGTGATATACTCTTTATGCCATGGGGAAGCAGATGAGTCAGTGATGGCCTTTTGGGCAGGACTAGATAGAAGAGAATCCGCAGATACAATCATATATGCATTAGAACTCTCTCCACTGGTTATGGAATTATTTCCTTGTTAATTACCTGCTCCAGCCTATGAATCTGAAGTTCAAATCTGCATTTCCTGCCCTTCAGACTGACATATGCCTAATAATCTAAATCTGATGTCATATCTTTCTAACTCTGCATATTTTTCTTCTAACCAATAACTATATTTCTAATCCAAATCTATACTAGTCCCTGGATCCTGACTTTGGTTAATTTGGTCAGAGCAGTTCAGCTGTAAAGGCAAGATCACTAGTGGGAGAAAGAGTGTAGGGGTAAAAAAGAAGATGCGAGGAGGCAGGGTGTACCACTTGCTGGAAGTTAGGAGACCAGTGTTCTCAAGGTACTGGATCCTTATTTCTAGTTATAGTCATCAGTCCTAGAATATTTATTATTTCAGTAGGGGATCCAACAATACTGAACAGAGAAAGATATTTTCTGATGTTGTAATACTATGTTGTTGTTGCTGTTGTTGTTAAGTGCCATAATGATTGAATGATGGGGTCCTCTGAAAAAGGAGTCCCCAAAAAGGGGCATAAAACTGATAACATTTGGTGATGATGATTTGGCCATTCATTAGGTTCATGATGTTCCTTCCATTTTTGTTCTGCATTAATCAGATAAGAAATGAGACAGACAGCTGGCAGAGGGAGCTAGAATCATGCTATGGGATCTCATGGCTACTAGTGACTCTGGACTGTGTTTCTGTCACTTAAGTGACTATCTCAATATAGATGTTCAACAAACTTGTGTTGAATGAATATTTAAGAACTAGCCTGGAAATAGGCAGAGAAATCTAGCTTCATAGAAGGGCAAAAATACCTTGATAGTTTGGGATCTACCCAGTCTACTAGCAGTTCTCAAAGCTCTTCCTTGTTTTGCCTTCAGATTTGTGATGTTTTTCTCTCCACTCATGGTACATGGACTTTAAAGCCATGCTTGAACTGCCTTGATGGAGTCACTGAAAAGCCCCTTTCTCCTTAATAGAGCAGAACAGGGTTGACATTTCACAGGGGGAACTTTGATTTCCCTTAATTTCTCCATTAAAATTCCTTTTCTAAAATTTCAAATCAGTAAGATCCCTTAGTTATGTAAGAGCACAGGATATCTGCCCACTGAAATCAAGACCTGACAGTACCCTAAATAACGGTATTAAATCCAATTGCGATAGAATTAACTTCAACTCACAGTGACCTTGTGTATGTCAGAGAAGAAGTGAGTTTCTGGAAGTAGACCAGCAGATCTTTATTCTGGGTGGACTTGGACCTCCAACCCTTCAGTTTGTAACTGAGTGCATTAACTATTTGCATTTATCAAGGACTCCAATAGATAGTATTAGCAGATGTGATGAGAATTTGCCAACACAGGAGAGGGTGTTGGAAAATTGAGAGACTGAAACACAAAATTGACACTGGTCTCTTAGCACTGACCAGAGAAAAGGGTTTGACTATCTTGCCTTGATGTCCAAATTGGAAGTGAATATAATATGATATCATAGCCTGAAGAGATTAGCATAGACACAGAGACTGCCAGGGCTCTTCTTCCTCCTGGTTGTTGTTGTTAAATGTTGTTGAGTCATTTCCAGCCCATAGCAGCCCTATATAGGGTGGCTGAGGAGCAGCTGGTGGATTTGAACTACTGATCTTGTGGTTGAAAGTCCAGGCTGATCCATAATTCTCAGTTACCACTAATGGAGTCTGAATGTAAATTGTTCATAATACCTTCTCTTCAAGATGGTTAACAGTAGCTTGACTTTTCCATGCTCTTACTCTCTCCACTACTGGTTGGCTAGGGAAAGACACCAGGGACATATGTAAAGGCAGAGCCAGAAGATGGAAAGAGCCAGAATCTCCCACCCATACTCTGTTGGTTGTGACATAAGACAAATTGATGAAGATGATTCTGAAAGCTGTGAGACGATCCTGATCTCATGACTTGCTCATGGTACAGGAACTCAGACCCAGAATGCTCTTCAGAAATCCTTGAAAAACCAGAAAAATGTCATTTTTACTGTCCCCATCACCCACATATCTTCCTCTTAGTACTTATTTTTTTTCTATTATGAGGCATAGGCGTTACATCTTATGAGGACTTTATGCATTTATGGGGAAGGTCTATCCAATGTCCCAGATTCAGTTGTTTGCAATGAATTAGCTGCTTGAAGGGTTAGCATGTGCCTTATTTCTGAGGGCCATGGTCTAGGACAGCTCTGTCAAATAGACATAAATATGACCACATTTACAATACATTTTTTTTTCTAGTAGCCATGTTGTAAAAAACAAAACAAAACAAAACAAAAAAACCCCCATAACAACATATTATGTTTAATTCAACTATCAACAACAACAACATCCCAAATATATGCATTTAATGTGTAATCGATGAAATATTTTATATTTGTTGTACAACATATATTTTCAACACATCTCAATTTGGACTAAGGAGCTCTGGTAGCGTAGTGGTTACGAATCGGGCTGCGAACCTTAAGGTCAGCGGTTCGAAACTACCAGCTGCTCCGCGGGAGAAAGATG